GGTTGTTAGAAACGCATGCCTTATAACATATGTGTAAAGCATGATTATTTATGCATTAGTATTAGACTTAGGGTTTGGTTTGGGCCGGCTCAACCTCTAGGGGTGGCCTGGTACATATATTTATATGAGGGATATGTACAAATACAAGGTATGTATGGAAGCTACAAACTAGCCTAAATACAAAGTCTAACACTCTTCCTCAATCTCAACCGGTGTCTCGTAGGTTGAGATTGCGCCGGCAAACCTCAAACAAAGGTAATGGCAACGGCTTCGTGAAGATGTCCGCAAGTTGATCTTTAGAAGAGATAAACTTGATCTGAAGTAGTTTCTGTGCAACACGTTCCCTGACAAAATGATAATCAACTTCGATGTGCTTTGTTCGTGCATGAAATACTGGATTAGAAGAAAGGTATGTAGCACCAATATTGTCACACCAAAGAATCGGTGGCTGTGGTTGAGGGACCCTCAACTCACGAAGCAATGACTGTACCCATATAAGCTCTGCTGTCGCATTGGCTACAGCTTTGTACTCAGCCTCAGTACTACTGCGAGAAACCGTAGCCTGTTTGCGGACACTCCAAGCGATCAAGTTGGGACCAAGAAACACAACATATCCCCCCGTAGAGCGCCGATCATCAGGATTACCTGCCCAGTCAGCATCCGAAAAAGCAGAGACAATATCAGAGGGAGCTGGCTGAAGGTGCAAGCCATATGAGGCCGTAAGACGAACATAGCGAAGAATGCGTTTGACAGCAGACCAGTGGGAATCACGAGGTGAATGAAGGTACTGACAAACACGATTAACCGCAAAGGAAATGTCTGGTCTGGTAATAGTCAGGTACTGTAGACCACCAACAAGACTACGATATGTAGTAGCATCATCAGGAGAAAGAAGTGCACCAGTATCAGCTGAAATCCTCTCAGTAGCAGACATGGGTGTAGACACAGGTTTACACTTGAGCATACCAGCACGACGCAGAAGATCCAATGAATACTTTTTCTGAGTAAGAGACAGTCCAGTAGAAGCATGAGTGACTTCCAAACCGAGAAAATAATGAAGCTTGCCGAGATCCTTGACAGCAAAATCGGAACTAAGAGCTGAGAGTAGGCGATCAGCAGCAGCAACTGAAGAACTGACAAGGATGATGTCATCAACATAAACCAGAAGGTATATAGTAACCTCGAGGCGCTGTAGTAAGAACAACGAGGTATCAGCTATAGAAGGAACAAAACCAAGAGCTTGAAGAGCAGAGGCAAGACGAGCATGCCAGGCACGGGGAGCCTGCTTGAGGCCATACAATGCCTTGTCCAACCGACATAAGTGATGAGGATGATCAGGATCAACAAACCCAGGTGGCTGGCGGATGTAGACTTCCTCCTCCAATACACCATGAAGAAAAGCATTCTGAACATTCAACTGACGAACAAACTAGCCACAAGTAACTGCCAAGGATAATAAAAGTCGAATGGTAGTAGGCTTGACAACCGGACTGATAGTATCCTCGTAGTCAAGTCCATGTCGTTGTTTAAATCCTTTAGCAACCAAACGTGCCTTGTACCGTTCAATGGAACCATTGGAATGTTTCTTGACTTTAAA